GCCCTTAGCAAAGGGCCCCGGACCCCGTACTCCCAGAGCACCCCCCCACAGGGCGCTGCGAGGGACACGGTCGAATGCCTTCTCCAGATCCACGAAACACATGTGCACTGGTTGGGCAAACTCCCATGAACCCTCCGCCACCCTGAAGAGGGTATAGAGCTGGTCCAGTGTTCCACGGCCAGGACGAAAACCGCATTGTTCCTCCTGAATCCGAAGTTCGACTATCGGTCGAATTCTCCTCTCCAGTACCCTGGCATAGACTTTCCCGGGGAGGCTGAGGAGTATGATCCCCCTATAGTTGGAACACATCCGGTCCCCCTTCTTAAAAAGAGGGACCACCACCCCGGTCTGCCAGTCCAGAGGCACTGTCCCCGACCGCCATGCGACGTTGCAGAGGCGTGTCAACCAAGACAGCCCAACAACATCCAGAGACTCAAGGTACTCAAGGTACCTTGAAAATCAGTCATTGCTTTTGAATTGTGGTTCAACAGAAGCATTTAAAAAAAGAAACTAATGAAACTGGCCTGGACAAAAATGATGGTACCCCTAGAAAGGATTGAAAATAATTTGACCATAGAGACATGTTAAACTGAAGTGTGTCCTCTAATTAGCATCACAGGTGTGTGTTTTCAAACTTGTAATCAGTCATTCTGCCTATTTAGAGGGTGAAAAGTAGTCACTGTGCTGTTTGGTGTCATGGTGTGTACCACACTGAACATGGACCACAGAAAGCTATGGAGAGACTTGTCTCATGGGATTAGAAAGAAAATTATACACAAATGTGTTAAAGGTAAAGGCTATAAGACCATCTCCAAGCAGCTCGATGTTCCTGTGACTACAGTGGCACATATTATTCAGAAGTTTAAGGTACACGGCACTGTAGCCAACCTCCCTGGACGTGGCCGCAAGAGGAAAATTGATGACAAATTGAAGAGACGGATAATGGGAATAGTAGCCAAAGAGCCCAGAACAACTTCCAAAGAGATTAGAGGTGAACTCCAAGGTCAAGGCACATCAGTGTCAGATCGCACCACCCATCGCTGTCTGAGCCACAGTGGACTTCATGGAAGATGACTGAGGACTCCACTGTTGAAAACAACTCATAAAAAAGCGAGAATGGAATTTGCCAAAGTGCATATTGACCAGCCGCAAAGCTTCTGGGAGAATGTCCTTTGGACAGAAGAGACGAAACTGGAACTGTTTGGCAAATCACATCAGCTCTATGTTCACAGACGCAAAAATGAAGCATACAAAGAAAAGAACACTGCACCTACTGTGAAACATGGAGGAGGCTCAGTCATGTTCTGGGCTGCTTTGCTGTATCTCGCACAGGGTGTCTTGAATCTGTGCAGGGTACAATGAAATCTCAAGACTATCAAGGCATTCTGGAGCGAAATGTGCTGCCCAGTGTCAGAAAGCTTGGTCTCAGTCGCAGGTCATGGGTCCTCCAACAGGATAATGACCCAAAACACACAGCTAAAAACACCCAAGAATGGCTAAGAAGAAAACACTGGACTGTTCTGAAGTGACCTTCTATAAGCCCTGATCTAAATCCTATTGAATATCTGTGGAAATAGCTGAAACATGCAGTCTGGAGAAGGCACCCTTAAATCTGAGACAGATGGAGCAGTTTGCTCACGAGGAGTGGGCCAAAATACCTGTCGACAGGTGCAGAAGTCTCATTGGGAATTACAGAAATCGCTCGATTGCAGTGATTGCCTCAAAAGGTTGTGCAACAAAATATTAAGTTAGGGGTACCTTCATTTTTGTCCAGGCCAGTTTCATTAGTTTGTTTTTTTTTAATGCTTCTGTTGAACCACAATTCAAAAGCAATGACTGATTGCCATTAGTTAATTTTCAGTAAATTTTTATTTATTATTACTTTAGTCAGTTTCACGTTATTTCAGTGACCATTGTGAGTTTTTCTTTGTTTAACAGAAGGGTACCAACAATTTTGCCCACATCTGTAAATGTGCCAAAGAATGGGAGAGCACTCATATGGAAGCTCATTATATGAGTTAAATTAGGTTTACCCATTATTTGGCCCCAAAGGGTGTTAGGCCATGCTGTCACAACTCTTCAGAGACCCACAATAAACATCATTTTCCAGACCTAGCCTGCATCCTTGGACCCTATCCTTACCCAAGCAAAGAGCAGATATGTGGTTTGACACACAGCATTATTTGCTCAAGCTGAGCAGTGGCTGGCCCAACTGGCATGTAATGGCAGTCACTCCTGAGAGCTGGGTCCTCTTAGTTGTCCAATCACTGACAATGTTCTACCAAAACTGTGTAACAAAAGATGACTTAACAATTCCAGTGAGTCTGTAACTATATTATTACCAACACAAGTCCTGTGTGGTTGTAGGAGTGAAGGCAAATCTACATGGTTGTCAGGTGGGCACCCTCTCACTAACTGGTGTTTCGTCGAATTGGGTGCATGACACCAAGAAGACTGTGTGTTCCAGCATCCCCGAACAACCCACCTCTTTGCCTGCACCCACACACCCAACTCAGCCCTTCGTGTCCTTAGGCTAATTGTTACCAAACGGTCACTTGCAGAAGCAAATATTTCACCTGCTGTTCTAGCCACCAAACATTTCAAATAGATCACCAGATAAGGCACCAGACTTTTGCTTCCTTTTATACTGCATCAGAAACCACCCTGTTTTAGTATTCATCCCAACAAACCAGTCAAACTTGCACTATACCCTTATGTTAGCTTGTTCATGTTAACACCAGAAAGTAGGCCTCAAGCCTGCTGCATGTATCAAACACTTTTACTAAGCCTGTCCTCCTATGCTAGTTTACTTGAGCTTAACAGGCATAATCCTCACACATGTTGCACTTATCTATTTTTACCACATTTATACACCTTTCTTCTGTTTCAGTGCCACTCATTGGACCTTGCTGCGCTATCAGCTAGATTCCTGATTACCCGTCTTTGGTTCTGCCTTTTTATACCTAACTCACCTAGCAGAGAGATAGCTGACTTAGCTACAAATCTCCTACAATCAATCTCCACAGCGTGGACTTTAACTTTCCAACCACAATTCTCTGCCTCCATGGCTAATTCTGTGTATTTGTTTCTCCCTCTGATAAGCTGTATCTACACTGTCCTCCGAGGGAACTGTAAGCTTGACAAAACACAGTCTGCTGTGCTTCCGACCACAACACAAGGTCTGGTCTGAGGTTAGTGCTGACCATCTCCTCATGATCTATGAGCCAGTTCCCTAAATCTTTCATTTGCCTATCTCTCCCTTTAGCTAGCCTGCATCCTGCCTGTTAAAAATGACTTGCTTCCTGTCTTTTTCACACTCAAACAAAATCCCCTCTTGGTGACTGTGTGTTTGTGTGTCCTGCAGGCTGTGCACTTCCCTGTTATGGAGAAGATGAAAAGGATTAAGAAGCGTCTGTCGTTAACACTCCGCTCCAGTCAGACCATTGACGAGTCCCTGTCTGAACTGGCTGAGCAGATGACTGAGGATGGCACCAAGGACAATGGTCAGTGCTTGTGTTTATGGGCATGGCTGTGGCTCAGGGGTAGAGCAAGTCGACCTCTGATTGCAGGGTTGGTAGTTCACATTGTTCAAGTGTTCTTGGAATCCCAAGTTGTTCTTGGTGGCCAGTCCAGTGTCTTGCATGGCAGCTCTGCCGCCATTGGTGTGCATGTATGAATCGGTAAAGGGCTTTGTGCAGGTAAAGTAGAAGAGTGCCAAACAATTGCAGTCCATTTACACTTTGTCAGGTTGTTTGCCAAGACCTTTAAGCTTACTAAAGAGTTAACTGACTGCGACTCAGTATTTTCAGGTTTTAAACCAAAAAAAAAAAACCTTTGGAAGCATGGCTGATCTGCTTCTTTTTTTTTCCTCACACTGGACATGGACCCAAAATGCAGACCAGGAAGAAGCTTTATAAAGTCTTTACTGTAATAAAGAGTACAAGGTTCAAAATAACAGGGAATGAACTCTGTTCAGGAGCAGCCCAGCACACGACGAGGAACAAGCAGGTAAGTCGGGCAGGCAGGAACGGCATCCATGTGGCGGAGAAGCCAAGAGCACACAGACAGAGCAGGCAGGAGAGAGGTAGTCGTAACTGAGGAGGCCAGGGGCACACAGTTGAATGGAGCAGACAGGTGAGTAGTTGGTATAGCTGGAGACTCAGAAACACACAAGTGTTACGAGCAGGCAGGAGAGGCGTCTGCATTGCTGGCAGGTCAGCGGATGTTGCTGGACTGGAGTGGTGATGGCGTCGCCAGAGATTCAGGAAAGGTAAGCAGAGTTAGGTAAAGTAGTCGGCCATGTCGTTGGAAGGTCAGAGCAAACTGCGGGAAATAGGAGCAGAACTTGCTGCAGCGGCACTGGCAATACAGGAACTCACAAGTAAGTTGAGCTGGGCAGGCTTGGAGGCAATGTCGCTGGCTATACAACTCGTAATACAGGACAGGAGTACAACAGCATCACTGAAGATTCAGAAACTCAATTTGGGTAAGGCGGAAGTGTCGACAGTGTCACTTGGCGTGGAGCGTTGTGTTGTCAAATGAAATCAAATTTATTTAAAACCAACATCCAGTTGACCAAAGTTCTTTACATAGGCAGAATAAAATCACAATAAATAACTAAAATAAAATAAATAGGTTCAGTGCAAAAATAAACCAACACAATAAGTCAGATGCACAGATTTGAGATATATGTTTGCCATTTATGCATAAACAGACAATCGAGGCATATAGGAATTCTTGTGCAGCTCTCTTGGAGTCAGGTAAAGAGTTAAAAGCCAGAAAAGAACATCTAGTCTGAGAATAAAGTTATGTAAAAGTGACATAGTATAAAAACGTAATACAACAAAAAAGTAATATAATAATAAGATAATAGAAAAGATGGTGAAAAACCTTCAAATATTGCTCATAATATTTCACATAGTAGAGTTGGATGTGATATTTCACTTAGTGAGGTAATGAGGGGTTATTTCACAGGCTTGTCACACTTTGTATTTGCCATCAGTCTTACTGCAGCAGGGGAAAAGCTGTGGTAAAGTCTTGTTCTGTGTGTGACGATACTGTCCGCCCTGCTGTGCCTGAGGCTGTAGGTGCAGTTTTTGTGTCTGAGCAGGGAGTGAGCTGGGTGGCATGGTCCCCGAGTATGTTTTACACCCTTTTACGACAGCGCTGTGTGTACAGTGTGTCCATAGCAGGCAGTTCACTCCCAGTGATCCTCTCTGCAGTCTTTATGACCCTTTAAAGAGTCTTCCTCTTTGCCTGTGCCTGATGAAGTATAGCCGCTGCTGGGCTTTCTTCACCATGGCAGCTGTGTTCAGTGACCAGCTCAGGTCAGATGTCACCTGCAGTCCCAGGAACTTGTGGCTGTCAGCCCTCTCCACCTCAGACCCTTTGATGGTCAGAGGCAGCAGAGGGGAGGGGTTCTTCCTGAAGTCTACTGTTTTTTCTTTTGTCTTGTTTAATTTTGAGGATGAGGTCATTCTCCTCTCCATAAACAAGAATGTCGTTCACCAAGCTTCTGTAACCCGACTCGTCTCCCCCCTTGATGAGGCCCAGAATGGTGGTGTCATCAGCATATTTAATGATGATGGTGGTGTCATAGTTGGAGACACAGTCGTGGCTGTACAGAGTGAAGAGTTTGGGGCTGAGACAGCAACCCTGCGGTGAGCCTGTGCTGATTGTGAGCTCAGCAGACACCCACCCTCCCATTCTGACCACCTGTGGTCTTTCAGTCAGGAAGTCCAGAATCCAGTTACAGGTGGGAGTTGGTACACCGAGGTCTGTCATCTTCCCAATCAGCCTACCCGGGCGAATGGTGTAGAATGCAGAACTCAAATCCAGGAAGAACATCCTAGCATACATACTGCTGTTGTCCAGGTGTTTCAGGGTGTGGAATAAAGCCAGAGCCGTCGCATTGTCCACTGATCTGTTGGGGTGGTAGGCAAACTGGAGGGTGTCTACAGTGTCCAGGACCATGTGGTTAACGTGTGTGAGGACCAGTTTCTCTAAGAACTTCATGGTGACTGATGTGAGCACCACTGGCCTGAAGTC